TTTAACTATGTACATTCTAAACTCCTTTTCTGACATTTCTTCCACTGTCATGTTGATAGATTCTGCTATTGGAGTATCTTGGTTTGCTTGCAACTGTTTGTTCCCTTGCTTTTTCATGTGGTTTCTGTGCCTAGCCATCTACCAGAATGGATCTGAGGCAGTAGAGTTTCTACCCTGTGGACTTAGAGTATCTTTGAAGGTTTACATACCTCACTGTTTAGGGGGAGACAAATAATAACAACCAATGTAAACAATTTACAGCATTAAATAAAATAGTTCCTACTATGACATCTACAATATTAATTATCACAATAAACAAAAATGGATATGATTAGTTATTGCCTATAAAAAGAACAGCAAGTTTGCAAAAGGGTTTACATTTTCAAATGGTGGACAGTAAGAGAACAGAAGTGATATAGGATGTGATTATTATGAGGGAGGAGGAAAGAAGACAGAAGTAAAAAATCAAAGAAGAGTGAAAGAACAATAGAGGTTGGCTGTGAGCAGAATAATAGAGATAATTCGGGAAAACAGGTAGAAAAAATATAGAAAGCAAAAATTCTAAAAAATAAAAATTAAAAGAATACAAAACAAAAATAAAATATATTAATCAAAATCCTAGTTCATGGAAAAAACTAATCCATTTAAAATAACTGACTTCAAAATAGAAGAAGAAGCAAAATAGAAACTATATAAATGGCCATGTACCATTAAGCTCACAATTAAACAGTGAAAAAAAATTTTAAAAAAAAGAAATAAAAATCTTGATGAAAATTTAAAGAATTCTTTCTTTGGAGTTCAAAATATTCTTAGTTTCTCAGCAGTTTTAGGTGGGGTCATCTGGAGTGTGATGCTCCACCCTCTGGATTGCTGGAGTGAGAGAGGTAATCCTGTAGGTGGAGTTCTTGGAAGCATGGTTTAGGCTCAGGCAGGCTCCAGGCTCTTTGCTGAATGCTAATTGGTCTGGAAATTTAGCACACCTCCAGTACCCAGTACTTGCTGGTCCATGCTGGAAGACTTTACCCCAGGAGTCTCCCCTGGGTTCCACTCATGTGGTGGGGGAGCCAATTCTTAGTTCCCTATGTCACCTGCAGACCCCAGGTTTCCTGGTCTTGGGTTCAGTCTCCAAACAATTTCTCCCACCCTGCCCTTCTGAGTTCCTGGCCAGATAGGTCTCTCCCAGCTGCAAGCAGTTGAATTAGAGAGGGAGGGGTAGTGACAGCCGGGTTTCCTTGACCAGTTGTCCCCTACATAAATCGCTCTCCACATTTGATTTTTTTCTGGTCACTTATGCACACTCTGTGCCCTGCAGAGTGTGTTTACTGGTCCTGTATTTATGGCCAAACTCTGGTTTGCCTGGAATCGGCTTCCTGCATTGCCAACCCCTAGCCACAGCTGCAAAATGGTTCCTTCCTCTTCCTCATGCCACCTAGAGAGATGGTGGTTTCTTTCTCCAAACATGGATATCATGCAGTGAGTCCTTCAGGTTTGTTGGGCAATATCCTTGGTCTCTAAACACTCCGTACCCAAACACTCCTCGGTCCTCCCAAAAATGTGGGTTCCTTTAATTCCATTATTCCTCTACTATACCCACAGAGGGGCCTCTCTGGCTAGAGCCTCCAGCCCAGCTGTGGTGGTGGCTATCCCACTGGGGGGGCGGGGGGGTCCTTATTTTATTATATCCAACCTCCTGTGCCCTGGTCTGCTTTGAATGTCCAGTTTTAGTGTCCAGTAAAGTTCCCCACCTCCCATTTTTGAACATTTCCTACCTTATGGAGAAGCTGCCTATCTGCTTTCTTGGTTTCACACCATGGAACAGCCAGGCATGCAACCTCCTCTATTCCTCCATCTTGGACCTGAGCCCTCCACAATGTTTTCCGTAATGGTTATTCTCATTTACATTGCTACTAACAGTGTCCATGTTGACCACTGTTATCTTTTATTTATTTTTGATAATAGCCATCCTTACCTGAGTGATAGCTCACTGTAGTCTTGATTTGCATTTCCCTGATGATTAGTGATGTTGAGCCTTTTATCATATACTGTTAGACATTTGTGTGTCTTCATTTAAAGAATGTCTGTTTAGGTCATTAATATTTATTGTTTATTTTTAATCAGGTTATTTTTTAATTTTTGCTATTAAGATTTTTTTGTTCTTTGTATATTCTGAGTATTAAATACTTGTCAGATGTTCTCCCATTATGTAACTTGTCTCTTAACTTTGTTAATTGTTTCCTTTGCTGACCAGTACTTTTTTAGTTTGATGTGATCACCCTATTTGTCTGTTTGTCTATTAGCTTTTCCCTGTTATTTTACAATCTTTTCCAAAAACTTATTGCTTATACCAATGTCCTGAGTGTTTTCTTCCAGTAGTTTTATAATTTCAGGTCTTAGATTTAAGTCATTCAATCATGTTGAGTTGTTCTTTTGTAACTAGTAAAAAGTAGAGATCTAGTTTTATTACACATATAGATATTCATTTTTTTCAGCATTATTTATTGAAACAACTATTTCATTTCTAGTATGTGTCCTTAGCATTTTTGTTGAAAATCAGTTGGCTTATAGACATGTGGGTTTACTTCTAGGTTCTATTCTGTTTCATTGATCTGTGTGTCTGTTTTATGAAAATATGCTCTTTTCATTACTACAGCTTCATAGTATGTTTTGAAATCAGGTAGTATAACGCCTACTTATTTATACTTTGTGCTCAAGATGGCTTTGGCTATTAGGAGGTTATTTTTGGTGGTCTTATAAAAATTTTAGGATTTTTTTTTCTGTTTATGTGAAGAATGTCATTAGTATTTTGGTAGAAGTTGCCTTAAAAGGTGAATTGTATGGACATTTTTATAATATTGATTGTTCCAACCTATGAACATGGGATATGTTTGCACTTTTTTTGTGATTCCTTTAATTTCTTCCATCAGTGTTTTATAATATTTATTAAAGGATTATTGAAATTTTAAGAAGTATTGATATCTTTTTAGTGTAATTTGCTCCACCCATATTCTGGTATCTATTTAGTCAAGTCTTTCTGAAAGTATTTTAGGAGAAAAATTAAATTTTCTCTCTGTAAGGTTTGTGTAATTCTTGCTGAGTTAATTCCTTTGTACTCTTCCTTTGCTCACCATAATAAATAATATCTTTTTTAAAAAAATGAAATCTGGGCTGAGGATGTGGCTCAAGCGGTAGCGCGCTCGCCTGGCATGCGTGCGGCCCAGGTTCCATCCTCAGCACCACATACAAACAAAGATGTTGTGTCCGCCAGAAAAAAAAAAAACTAAAAATAAATATTAAAATTTTCTCTCTCTCTAAAAAAAAATGAAATCTGACTAGTTATTAGTGGGTTAAAAAATTTCTTGAGTTTGTGAGTTAACTCATATTCAGAAACCATTCTAACCTCTATCAACTCAAAGTTATTCTGTTGATTCTGATAAGTGTGGAGTAATTTCACACTCTGACAAATAATAGTGATATGCCCTGAGAGCTCACCATGTGCCAGGAATTGCTTTAACCCCACAAGATATTATGAGTCTGGTGGTATAACTCTTCCATTTTCCTCTGTCTAAAGCATTCAGAACTTGCCCACAGTCACATAGCTATTTCATAAATTCCTGGCTGTATGCTGTTTCTGGTTCTATCTATATGGGGTTTGAGTCATATAACCCTCTTTAAATTGTGGTTGTCACTTACCTAGCTCATAGGTCATTTGACTCATAAATATAATGATGAAGGTCTTGAGAAAAGAAATTTATGCTTCCAAGTAAAAATTTCCATGATACCACTTAATGAAGAATCTAAAATTGTCAAGTAGAATGGTGGTTGGTAGAAGCTGGTAGGAGGGGGAAACCGAGAGATATTAATCAAAGAATACAAAATTACAGCTTTATATTGTTGAATAAGTCCTAGAGATCTACCATCTAGCACAGTGCCTATAGGTCACAATATTGTATACTTAAAATTTTGATGAGGGTCAATTCTATCATGTGTTCTTATCTCAAGTAATAGTAATAATAAATAGAGTGTGAGTAAACTTTCAGAAGGGATGATTTCACAGGTGTATATTATCTTGAAGTTGCTTACAGCTGTGAATTGTACATAAGTAGTATGTATAGATATGTTAATCATTCCTCAATAAAGTGGGGAAGGAAGAGAGGAGGAGCCTGAAAATTGTACATAAGCAGTATGTATAGATATGTTAATCATTCCTCAATAAAGTGGGGGAGGAAGAGAGGAGGAGCCATAAAAGCTCTGTCCCAGCACCTTATCAGAAGGTACTGGCAGTAAAACATAGAAGGCTTTTTAGGTGGGCTGGGGATGTAAATCCGTGATAGAGTGCTTGTCTAACACCACAGGTGAGACTCTTGGTTCAATCTCCAGTACTGGAGGTAGGAGTGGAGTGGGGGAGAGAGGGCTGAGCATTTAGAAGTGAGCATTTCATTGATCTCTTTATCTTTTTATTTTTTTAGACTCACGAATTCTGGAAAACAGGAACAAAAACAATCCTAAGCATCCTCATCATTAATGCAAGCGGAAGGATATTCCTCAATAAAGAAAAAAACTGATCACAACATGAAAGGCGAAATCATTACAAAATTGATTACTTGAATATATAATTTGATCCTGAATTAAAAATAATAAAGGTAAATTTTAAAGAAAGTGATCCACTGGTTCAATTCAACTTCAAAATATTTGCCATTTCTTCAGTTGCCAACATAGTTATTTAAAGAATTCACTTCTCCCTCTTCCCACCACATTTCCTTTCTCAGTACAGGTATCAGGAACATGTTTAAAAAAAATGAAAAAGGAAAAAAAATATTTGAAGATGAGCTAGAATTAATATGAAAACCATTGCCCACGAAGTGATCCAGGCTCCTTTGAGCTCGTGGGGGCGGGGGGCGGTGGCGGTGGAAAAGGCAGAGGAGGAAAAGAGGCGGAGACCCAGCCCGAGGCCTTCAGCGAGCAGAGAGGGGCACCACCATTTCTGGTGCTAAGGATACAGACTGAAGCAGGTGACGCTTAGGATCCTCTCCCCTCCCCGGCATAGCTCGGGGGCAAAGACTGGTCGGGGAGAACTGCCGGCCCTTTTCCTAGCAGCAGCCGGCCACCCTGCGCGCACGGCTGGGATCCAGAATGGAGAGGCTGGTGAGCGGGGCTAGGGGATGGAAAGGAGGGCGCTGGGTGGGCGGACAGCAGGCAGGAAGAATGCAAGGAGCGGCGGCTGATCGCGGTCTAGTCCGAGCTGGTCGGAGGTGCTGATGGCCAACGCATTCTTCTCAGACATTTACCCTGCTGAGAAGCGACTCTTGCCTTTTAAAGGGTGGTTGACAGGCAGTTTTTGGTGTCGTGGTTCTCCTGGGGAAAGGATGCTCCCCGGCGAGGGCGAAGCTTCCCCGAGAAAGATTACTGCTTTCCGCCCAGAGAAATTGGGGCCGGGAGGCGAGCGCTGGAGGCTGCGGGTGCGTAGGGCGTCTCCACTGGCTGACTGCAGCTCCCGGGGAGAGCAAGGCACTGCCTGTCTTACATTGCCCCAAGAAGGGGATGACAAGCGTTGGGCTGGCTCTGCGCTGGCGACCAAAGATGCGGTGGGGATGCAGAATTCCTATCTCGCTTGCTCCCTCTCTTGCCTCTTTGGTGCTCAGCCTTGCTGCCTCCTCTGGGCTCTTGTCTTGGGAAGCCATGAAAGATCCGATAAAGCGGCAGCAACAATTGAGAGGGGATTGAAACGCTTTGTGATCCTGTTTCTTGGAAGGGTTAAACCCCAGGATATCTAGGGAGGCCGACATTTTGTTTATTCTGGATCTGTTTATATGACCAAAGTTAAAGGCGAGGATGTTCGTATGCCCTACTGGTATATAATTAGGTAAAAATAATCAAATACGATTAAAGCCTCAAGGTAATATACTCATATATAGTTTACTGGCAAGACCACACAGCCAGTTACTTCATTATCTTTTTTTAACAAAGGAGAATGGTAGTCCGTGAGCTAGTGTCTTTTTCTGGATAGATGCTCTTGATCATCACAACAAGGAATTATTACCCCATTTTACAAATAAAAAAACAGGAAGAGAGATTAATTTTTCTAAGACCATGTGGCTACATGTGGTAGGGTGGGGGTTCAGACTTAGAAACTCTCAGAGGAAGAGAGATGTGTACCTGCCAGGTGGGCTGTTTTGAGGTAAGGTCTGGGCCTTGGTAAATCTGGCCTTTTCTGTGAGGGCCATTGTGGATTTCTTTGTTTTCATGATTGGAATCCTGGTTTGTTTCCATTGATTAATCTCTTTAGCTACCTCACAAGTTTTGGCATTTATTAAATCCTAGACTGCAGTAAATACTGCTAAATACTTTATTCCTACTATATGCTTATGAGATAACAGCAACATTGATTTAGTGCTTATTTGTACCAGGCACTATTTTAGGAGCTTTGCACGTGTTACAGGCTGAATACCCATTATTCAAAATGCATGGGACTGTATGTATTTTAGATATCAGATTTTTTAAAAAAATTTTAGAATATATACATAATTTATACATAATGAGATATCTTGGAAGCAAACTTAAGTCTCACTCATTTTTAATGTAGACCTTATACACACAGCCTGGAGGTAATTTCATAAAATATTTTTAGTGCCTCCTTTATGATTACAACGTATCAGATAATGTGAAGTGTAGAATTTTCCACCATGACATCATTTTAACATTTAAGAGTTTTAGATTTTTGTAGCATTATGAATTTCAGATCTCTTGCCTGTATTTCATTTAGTCTTTTTAACCATGACGTTAATACTGTTATTTATTTATTTTTGTCTCGGGTAAAATGATTTGTCTTACCTTATACATTAAAGTATTTGTTTTAGACAAAATTCAAGTCAGCCAGAGTCTTCCTTTGTGGCTACCATACAGTAATGCCAGATAGACTTGTTTAAAAATAAAAATCCTGTTGTTTTCAAGTTGGCAGTATTTTCAGTTACTCTACTTAGAGTAGAAGAACAATTGTGATTTTTTTAACAGTGGGGTTTTCTTTCAGATTACCTTTGACTCTGTCACTGTATTTTTGTTTCTTAATATTGCTGGCTCCCAGTCCACAGTTTTGCATTTTGGTATATGTCTGCTTTTTCTCTTGTCCTGAAACAGATTTTCTCTATGAAATCCCAATTCTGCATTTTCTCATGACAGCCTGCTAGGGCCTGGGTTTTCAATGAGAGAAGCACATAATTATTTCTTATAACAGCATGGAATTAGGATGCCAATATCTCTCGCCACAATAGCTTTAACTGAAAATAAAACAAAATGTGTTGGTATCTGGCAGGAGATCCTGAGGAAACACTTGGCTGACTTTTTTTCTGACTTTCTCACACTATAAAATAGAATGGGGCAGTCCCGGTAATACTGAGAAATTTTTCAAATAGTCACTGGGGCACTTCAAAACTAAAGGCTTTTTAATGTGGTGCCTGTGAGTTGGTGAGTAGTGCGAGGTGAGCAGGTGTTATGGGGGCTGAGTATATTTTCAGATAGCACATCATCCATGACTTCCTAAAGGCAGTAACTGGTATTAGCCTTAGATCTGTGAAAAAAAGGGGAGAAATCAGCAGGTAGGCATGGCATGCTCATGGTATGCTTAGACATTAAATAATAAAATACATGTGCAAATGGTAATTTGTCCTAATGGCATGTTCAGATATAAATTTTATTCCCCCATAACCTTAGAAATGTAAGGGAAAAACCAACTTGTGCCACATAGATGAATATCAGTGTGCACCATGATGGAATTCCTTGGGATTTAGGCAGAAAGTCTGATTGGGCCTCCCTGTCTGAAGATGAGGAGGCACTACTCCGATATTGGGTGGCACTGGAGATAGGACCACAGAGAGGTGATACATCATCCCTTCCAGGGCATCCCTCTCAAAAGATCTACAAAGGACACAAATAGAAAATGTGTTGGAGATTCTCCATCTCTGGCAGTTTCAGTGGAATACAGAAGAGAACCAGGGATTCATCCAGACTGTGACAGTTCAGGTGCTCCCATGAATACATCCACCTCTTGAGGACACGTGGGCCCCAGAGAAACTGAGACAAGCCTGGTTCTGATGTTCATCACAACATTAATCCCAAACCACGGACTGGGCCAGGACAACTGGGGCTCCTCTCATTACAGCCATATGCCTAAGTGTAGCTTAGGCAGGTGGTTACCTCTCTTCCTGAAGAAAAAAATCAAGGTTGCATAATGAGATTAATGTTTGCAAAACATCGGATGATCTAACCTGCGTTGACAGTTCTACTGAACATTTCTCAGTAAGTTTTAGGTCATGGTTACCCTCTGAGGGATGAAAAGATATGTACTAATTAGAACTAAGATGTCTATACAGTGGGAAGACAAAAACTTATTAAAATTGGGATGCTCCCACTGGGGACAGGAAAAGGAAAGATAAATTCCTGTGGCAGATAAGAAAAAGATATTTAGGTCGTCAAAGACTCTGTTCCCCCACCGTTCCCCCCAATCCTAAGGCCACAAGAAGAAATTAGAAATCCCAGAGAAATTTCAAGGATCCAGTTTAGGGTATTGGGGAAAATGAACTCTAGCAGAGCTTTTGCTATCATTTATTCTGTCTTTAATCACTGTATTTAAAAGCAACTGTAAAAACAAGGCTTAATTAAGGCAACCAATGAGAATGAGGTGATGAGAATCCCTCAGGTACCAGCCTTTGCAACCATGATATGGAACTGAGGCTGTTTAAGTGGATATGGTTCAAATAGTTTAGAAGGAATCTTCAAGTTATAGCAGAAGCTGGAGCTAAGCAGGTCTGACAAAACATCTGCACATTTAGAGCAGAACACCCACGCTGGGTTTGTTGTGGCAATAGATTGGAACTTGGAGAAAGTGGTCAGGATGTCCTGAGGTTTTTGTGGGATAATAGAAAAAGTGGTTAGATAAGAGATTATTTCTAGCCAAACAAGACAATGTCCCAGCCTCTGAAATTTAGCACAGTCTGAGAAGAAGTTTCAAAATTGGCAGTTCATATTTTAGTATTAAATGTTTTCCGATGGACAAGAGCGAAGATACAGAATAACAGACTGGGGTGAGGGGTGCTAGACAGGTGGCATGCAGGTTAGGAGCAGTGTCTCAGGGTCTGGGGCATAGGGGGAGCTATGTTTTGGAAGAGGGCATTTTCTCTCAAGGTGGAAAGTGGACTGGTGTGTTTAAACAAGATCTGGAACTGGTGGGATGGTAGACATAAGGAAGTAGGAGCCTTTGGGGGGCGGGGGAGGGGGCGATTAAGTCTGTTTGGTGCACCAACAGGCTCACAGACCTAACCAAAAAATGCTTCTGAGGCACAAGATCGCTGTGCGCTAAAATGACTGAAATCAGGTTCACAGAAAGCCCTAAAAGATCTAAATAAAAGTCAGGGAATTCATTTTTGGTAGGGGAATGGTTTAAGCAAAAATGCCAAGGTAGGGAATTGTGTGGTGTGCATTGAGAAATAGATAAGAGGGGAAGGACATGTAGGGAAGCAGTGGAAGATGAGTTTTCAGGAATGGATCAAGTTAGGTGAAAATGCTGGAACTATTTTCTTTAAAAAACCAGGGAAGATAGAAGGTTCTTAAGGGTGTGGTAACTTGTACAAAGATGAATATTAAGGAAAATCTGTCTAATAGTATTATGTATGTATATAAGCTGGATGGTGAACTTAATTTGAGGTGGGATGCCATGTCTGCCTGATCCACCACTGTCTCCAGAACATCAGGGACAGTGACTGGCATGAAGTCAGACTCAGGAGAGATTATTAATGACAGAATAAATGATAGCAGAAGCTCAGTAAGTAGGAAGACAACTACACAAAACACCTAGTGTTAGGAGTTGAGACCAGGAAAGGTGAGGAGCAGGGACTTCACAAAGTATGATGTATTGTGTAGAGTGACTAATGACATGTCTGGGAAGTGAGAGAATGTGAAATCCAGGATGACTCCAGTGACTGGGAGATCAGATTTCACAAGAAGTCGTTTTGATGAATTTAGTGTCATTCATAAATGTACTCATTCACTCCTTTCCTTTCATTCGTTGGACCCACAGCACTGGAAGCTAACAGAAAACCTAAAAGAACTGATGCAGAAAAAAGCTTGGTAGTTTCAAGGCATCCAGAGGGTGGTGAGGGGGAGCTGGAGGGCAGGGAGGAGAGCACAGTGAGTGATCTGGGAGAGCATCTCTGGAGGTGCTGAGCCCCAGGGGTGGAGATGGAAGCCAAAGACTCTAGTCAGACATCTGTGGGGGATGCTTTATCACCACCAGAGTTTCCAGAAAGTTTCTCAGTGGCTCTCACTAAATGTTCCTTAGGGTACTAGTTTCAAAATTGAATATAGTATATTGTTCCAGGGCAATGAAGCAGGGATCTCTGTGTGACTAAGAGTTTAATAATTCCTTATAATAGTGATTTGGTAAAAGGCAGTAACAATATCATTTTATTAAAATCAGAAACATTACAGTATTTCTGTAGTGGATTATGGTTAAGAGCTCTAGAGCCAAACTGCCTGGGTTTAAAATCCAGCCTTTCTAGCTGTGTGGCCTTAGGAAAGTTAACTTCTCTGTGTCTCATATTCTCCATTTTGGAAATGGTGATAATAATGTTACCGTTGTTTACCAGTGATGAGTCCTTGCTTCCCGCAATGCTGAAGTATATAACACCAGAGAAGCACATGGAGGCAAGTGTAGAGTGGAACGTAGAAGCTTTATTAAAGGACAGCAGAAAAGACTTCTCCAGGAGGAAGAAGGGGACCCAAAAGGCAGAATCCTTGGAAGGAGGAGGTCTTCCCTGTTTTATAGTGAAGGTCTACTTTAGCTTTCCTGGCATTCCTGTGGCATTCCCTGTCCTTTGTTCTCCCTTATCTTGCAGTGATGGAATGTAGGTGGGAAGGCCCAAAGGATGGGGGACCCCTGGGCTGAAAGAGTAATCTGGGCAGGAAGGGCCTGGGGTGTTTGCCTGGAGCTGCTTCATTAATGTTTCCTTGGGATGGGCTCTGGGCATTGGGGACATAACAATTCAATTTCCCCAAGTGCTGCTCTGTTTTCCTGGATTCCATTCTCAATAATGGCCTCCATTTTATTCATCTTACTTGATATTAGACCCGATTTACCTAACTACACTAACTACCTATCTTTAAATCTGGTTTCAGTAAGAGGGTTCTGTAATAGGTTTATATGAACTATTAGATGAAGTAGTTTATCTCAAGTGCTAAGAACAGTGTGTGGTGCATAAGAAATATTCAGTAAAGGTTGTCATCATTAGTGGTTTCATCACCTTAGGCAAAATGGAAGTTGGAGAGTCGTTTTCACATATTATCTTGTATGTTTTTGGATTCTGGTCTTTTGCTTCTGTCTCCTGGTTTTTTAAACCAGACAGTCAGGCACCCACTACTTTAGAGCTCTGCCACAAGAAAGCAGGAAGGAATCTCAAGTTTCGCACAAGCAAGATCCTAAACATTCAAGTTTCATATGAAAGACCAAGGACATAAAATTCATGCCAGAGAAAACTTAAATTTCTTACACATCTTTTATTTATTTATTTATTTATTTTTTTGGTACCATGGATGGAACTCAGGGGCACGTGACCACTGAGCCACGTCCCCAGCCCTGTTTTGTATTTTATTTAGAGACAGGGTCTCACTGAGTTACATTTCTTGCTGTCTTCCTTAAAATGAACATCCATGGAGACCAAGTGAAGGAATCCATGAGACAGCTGTAGGGAAAAGTTCAACTGAATACACCCTTCCTGCTCATTTTTGAAGAAAGTGATGCTCCAAATAACATTCCCTTAAATAGCCCCATGGCTTACAAGAAGGCCAAGGATTTCTGCCTAGACACATGGAAACAAAGCAACGAAGAAAAAAAACAATCAAATTAAAACCAGTACTGGTTTTTTAAAAGGTGCAATTTATACAAAACTTGTGACATTTGCGGGGGAATCTGACTCCACAAATCTCTAGGTGGTTACGTGTTTCTGAAGTGTTTTTCCCTTAATACTAACAGACATGGACCATTTGAGGAGTGGATACATTCTCCATTTGTATTCTCTGCATTTTCTGTATTTATGTAAGGTAGTGTGTTTTCCCCAGTGATCCTACATCTTTGAGACTTTGCTGTTGACAATGGTGGTTTAGGAGCAAGGCCACCCATTGCAAGGGCCAATTGCTATTACAAAAGAGCCACACTGCAGCTTTGCCCTCTCCACATCCTGAATACTCTGTTATTTCTTCTATCTATAACCTCTAACTACTTCCACAAAACCAAATTCTCTGGGGAAAACTTAACTCTCCAAACATGTCCTGAAATAGCACTTAGATGGAAGATTCCTTGGCCTTATCCAAATGCAAACCCCATTTCTGTACTTTGCTTTCTGTCTTCAGGTATTCAGGAAGCCCTTCTGTCATCTGTCCACCTACAGCCTGATTTGGGGCATGGCAGCAGTGGTGCTGTGTACAGCACAAGGTAATGATGCTCAGTTCCCCCACCCCGAGTAAATGCAATGTCTGGGGTGGACACTTTGGCCACTAACCACTGTTTGTGATGCTAGTCCCATTTGTCTACATGAATTATTGAAGCATGTAATTTGCTTGGAAGAATGGGAGTGGTTCTTTCCGCTTTTCACATGTTTGTTTGCAGAAGAGAAGAACAGCTGTTTCCATAGATGAACCAGGCTTATGAAAAATATTCTCTTTGAGTTAAATTATGTTGTCATTTTTCACCCACCAAAAGACTTTAAGACATAGTAATTCCTCTGTTTGTAAGGATATGGGAATGATTATGGGAGTCTGAATGGATTCGATATTTTTGGAAGACAATATCACAACCTTAAAACTGGGCATGCCCTCTTTTTACAGAAAAATATAGAAAGTAATGAAATATAGAGGATATGTAGGTTCACATTATTTATCATGTAAAAATCGTACCCATGCCATCTGACTGCTGAATTCCCTGTTTCTCCCTGCTCGACCCCATAGGTCACTGCTTACTTTTCTGTTGGACTTTATTTTCTAAGTTTTAATTTTTAATCATTTTCAGTGTATTGTTTCTCAACATTGCCCACAGGGGAAGGTGATGATTGTGAAGGACAGGTGGGCTTCATGCCCATCAAAACCCTGGTCCACAATATCCAGTATTTACCAACTGATTGGAAAATCTAAATGGGTTCCATACCAGCAACAAAGAACGGTGAAATTTCCCATCAGTGGCTTCTTTCATAGTCAAGGGGGAAAAAATTACCTAGGTGTTGAAACCTACTTTTGATCTCTTTTCCACCACGTTCTGAAAGCAACGATTTCTTCCATTCTTTGCTCTCCAAAATTTCAACAAACTTTCAGGACACCTCAACCCCACCAACAGGTGTTGCCTCCCAGAACCTTCTCTATGCCCCAAGAGTATCTATCATTAAATCTTGAGTCACACAACAGGGGTCCAGAATATAATCTGTTACTCTGCTTCTCTTTTTAACCCTGGTACTGTTGGGGAGTTATGTTTTTGTTTTTTTTTTTAACTTTCTTTCTTTTTGGTGCAGTCTTCTTTTTTTTTTTACAATAGCTGCCAACATTTTGTCTATTTTATTCATCTTTGAAAACAAATTTGGTGTTTTTAATCAAGTCTACATTTTATGTATTGGTATATTAATGGATACTTTTATCTTCATTAAGGTGGGGGGGTAGGTTTGGGAGTAAGTTTATATTCACTTTCAATTTCTCTTATTTTCTAATAAACATAATTAGGATAAGATTTGTCCCTCTAAGAATTGCTTTACCTATTTCTACAGATTTAACATTTTTTGCTATCACTGTCATTTAGTTATAATATATGGTTTCTGCTGATTTCTAGTATAAATAAAAAGTTAAAAGAAGTGTGTAAATTTATGATTTTATTGCATTGTGAAAAGTGTTCAAGTCCACAAAGTATAGCAAATTTTGGTAGCTGATTTCAATTTTAGGAAATATTTTATATGTGTTTTGAAAAGATTATGCAGTCTTTGAGTATTATATATTTAAGTTATATATATATATATATATATATATATATATATATATATATATATATCCATAAATGCTATATAGTATGTATGTAAATATGAAATGTTTTATGCTAAATATATAAAGTATATGAATAAACATTTTTTTCAAATTTTCTCTATCCTTATATTTGATGTTTTTTTCTTTGTTTATTTTAATATAATGGAATTAAAGATTCTGAAAGATGTATAGTAAATGCCTATGATAAGTGTGGATTTTTAAATTTTTGTTTGTAATTTTATTCATATTTGCTTTATATATTTCAGAGATAGGTTGTTAGGTGCATGAAGATTCATGACTGATATATCTAACTTTAAATTGTTCTTTTCCTCATTTTGAATAATTTTCCTTCTTAAAATGCTTTGTCTACTACTCTCTTTTCTCTCTTTCTACAAATCTTATTGGATTGATATTGGAACATTTAAGTCTGCTCATTGAATTTTTCTTGAATCCCTTTCATATCCTTATCCTTTTGTGCTACATTCTGGAGGAATTCTGTGACCTGAACTTCTACCCATTTACTGTGGTATCCATTCTGTTAGTTGAGCAATCAGTTGAGATTTTGTATTTTTCTTTTTGCACATCTCTAATTTCTACCATTTACAAAATTGTCTTCTTACACACTTTGGATATATTCATGTCAAAGTATTTATTGATTTATGATACCTTTATTTATTTGGTCTGGCTTCTTGGGTTTGTGGACTTTAGTTTTCCCTTTTCCTTGTGTTAGTTTTCTCAAATGCGTGGTTGTTTGTTATGAGGTGGAGGTTTCTCTGTCATAGAGAGTAAGTGGCCAACATTGCAGAACACAAGAAATTACTGTCATAAAATTCAGTGAAAATGGGGATGCATAGATTGTCATTGGGTACCAAAGCTTCAAGGTCCTCATAGGTACCACAAGCCTCCCAGAGCACTGTCTTGTATATCTCTCTATCCGATGTGCCTATCCTCCTGCTTTCTGGAGGCAGCCATCTCTGTGATATCTCCTTCCTTTGTAGGTTTTGTGTGTGTGTGTGTGTGTGTGTGTGTGTGTGTGATGAATAGAGCTGCTCTATCTTCTTTGCTTAAACTGACCACTCTGCCTGTTGTCCTTTGGCTCCTGGCTTCTACCTCTCCAAGCATGCACGTACTTGGTGGATCTTCTATACAGTCTAGCAGTTTTCATCTTCAATCTCATTCTACTTGTTTTCCAACTTACAGGGATTCTCCACAATTCCTGGTCTCTGAGCATTTTCTTTCTTATTATTATACTCTATTACTCTACTTTGAAAGATGGAACAAATATATATTTCTCTACCAAGAATAGGTATGTAAATAATTTTGTTCTTTGCATTTTTCTCTTTTTAAAAATTGACTTTCACATACACCTTGTTTATTATCAGGAAAACATGTTCATGTGTGTATGAAAGTATGTATTAAAGTCTTAAAACACACATGTTCTTTTATGGTTCTATAGAGGAAGTGGTGACCCAGGATGAAAAGTTGCTGCTGAACACACCTGCATCCTTAAGATGTTCTCTGCAATCTGCCCACGAAGCCTTGATTGTGACATGGCAGAAAAAAAAGGCTGTAAGCCCAGAAAACATGATTACCTACAGCAGGAACCATGGGGTTGTGGTCCAGCCTGCCTACCAGGGCAGAGTGAACATCACCGAGCTGGGACTCCAGAACTCAACCATCACCTTCTGGAACACAACGCTGGAGGACGAGGGGTGCTACATGTGTCTCTTCAACACCTTTAGTTCTGGGAAGATCTCGGGAACAGCCTGCCTCACCCTCTATGGTGAGAATCTCTGGGAATGCACTGCCTGTGGGGAGACACTATTTGCAGGAATGTTTGGAACATGGTGGTATGGCTAGTTGTTCAGGTTCATAATCACAGAATGGCTCACTAGAAGACACAGCCTTTCATGTCTCTAGCAGCTATTTGCTGTGGTTTTCCTTTTCTTTGAGGGTTTGTGGTGCTGTCCTGAGTTGTTCTGCTGGAGCTCTCTTTCCTCTGGAGATCTTGTTGTCCACATGACTTTGGGCAATAATGAGGGCAGCAAGTTCTTCAGAATCAGTGGCACCAGTGAGACCTGGCACTGCCCTCATCAGTCATGTGGCCCCAGAATATCTGGTATGCTTTCTCCACTGGAGTTTCTTTGTCTGGACAGTACATGTGAAACAGACTATCCCTGGAGTCTCCTACAACTTGACCCTCTTGGATCTAAGGACAAATCCAGATTTTGCTGACCTGGAGACAGCTTTCTCTTAAAATCCAATAGGCTTAGTTTGATGAGATTTCTTTCCTCTTCACTATCATGTTGCTAAGGATTAGGATATAGGGATAAGGGATGACTTTGAGACATGGCACACTTGGCAGAAGGAAAAGACAAATTTAGACAGGGTTATTAAAAATATTAATGTGAGACTTTAAGCATGCCAACATTATTGGCCACAGGAGGAGAGGAGATTCAATGAGGTCACAATTTAAGGAAGGCACCACAATACCAAATACAAGTTTCTTTCATTTATTTTGCCCATGCTGGATCCTCTCTGCAGAATCTTATGTCAGGTTTTCTTCTTGCTTTTCGATTCTGTCATTTTCTGTCTGTCCATTCGCTTCTCTCCCACCTCCCTCCTTCCTTCCATCATATTTCCCTTCTCCTTATCTTGTTTTTCTTTCTTATGTCATAATTTTCGGATTTCTGTTCCTATTTCTTCTCTTCTTTTTCTCTCATCTTTCTCCTACTCTGTCTCCCTTACTCCTAATTTTCTGTATTATTGTTCACCTGAAAATCAGATGACTCTTGAATTTTGCAGCTTGTAATACTGTTCTCTTCCACCAAACCTCTCCTTCTAAGCCATTCTTTGGTACATCTCCAAAGAATCTGGACACCTAGTCTGGCCACATTAATCACATTCCTCTCTCTTCCTTTGTTCTCTTTACCTCCAGTGCTTGCTTTGTTTGGAATCTGGACATTCTTTGGACACAGCTGTAGTTCTACAACCCTACTTCTCCTTATCCACCCACCTCTTGAACCTAAAAGTATAGACCAGCTTTAATTTGGTGCTGCCCTGTAATTGTCTTGGAGTCTCCAAAGCCAACTAAAGAATATTCTGCACTGCTTGGCAGAGATAAAGTCTACATTCCAATGAAATGAAGTCATTGGGGAAATTTTAAAAGGGAATAGGCTATGGCTGGCCTGAAAATTATATTTTTTTCTCATAAGCTAGTTATTTTCCCTTAACTCTATTAGGTGAGGCCTAAAGTCCTTTAACTGCCGTGTTTTGATTTTTCAGGTTATAGGCTTGGAATTGCTAGTTTGTATTTTGTGTACATCTTTCAAACAGAGATTTTCCAAGCCTTCTCTCTGTATCCTATTTGCTCATTCAGCTTTGAGAAAAAAAAAAAAGAATGGGTATCACTAAGTGGCAGTCCTTCTTGGGGCTGTCTGTTCTGCACCTACCCTTGTGCTTCTGATAGGTGCAGAGTACATGTATACAGGTGCTGGTGGGGGTTACTGTCAAGCTACTTGAGAGGAACACCCAAAAGAAGGGAGAGGTGCTACATTATTCATGCAAGAGGAGAACATAATAATTAGGCTTTAAAATATTTGAGAGAGACAAGTAACATCTGACTTTTCCATAACTTTCTATCCATCCAGCTAGTTCTGCTGGAGGCAGTTACAGAAAGGGCCTTTCTCATCGTAGGTTTACACCAGGCCATTCTCTATCCTGCAGATCAGAGAAGGAGACCTCAAATAACTGGGAAGGCCCCAGCCCCAGTGGGTGTGGGATGTACGACCTCATCTAACTGGTTTCCATTTGTCATTCTGTAAGGACCTTTTCCTCATCTCTGTGAGGAGACTATGTGCTTAACTGATGGCAGGTCATATATATTTTTTTTGTCCCAGTACAGCCCACAGTATTCCTTCACTACAATTTCTTTGAAGACCACCTAAATATCACTTGCTCTGCCACTGCCCGCCCAGCACCCATGATCTCCTGGAAGGTTGCTGGGTCAGGGATTGAGAACAGTACCGAGAGTCTATTACACCCTAACGGGACCACATCTGTCACCAGCATACTCCGTGTCAAAGACCCCAAAAGTCAAGTGGGGAAGGAGGTAATCTGCCAAGTGCTGTACCAGGGGACTGTGACTGAGTACAAGCAAACTGTGAACAAAGGTAAGAGAAGGAGGGCAAAGATGGCTATGGTCACATCTGCATATATCCGACTGGAAGGTGGCAAATATCCTTCAGAGACTTTGAGTCTCTCAACAAAGGAAGTAACTGGGGAGAGAAAGGTACAAGTAAGGAAAGAGAAGCAGAGTTGAGGAAGCAAATAAAGCAAATTTTATAGTAGTCTCCCCTTATCTACAGAGGATATATTTGAAGATGCCCAGTGGATGCCTGAAACTGCAGAAAATACTAAACCGTATGTGTATGTGTGTGTGTGTATACACACACATATATAATATGGCTTTATTATATTATATATAATTATATTTATTATATAATATATATACATATATACATAATATAAATATATGTATATTATATATAATATGGTTTTATTATAGTTATGTTTACACCAATAATAAAATAAACAAATTATAACAATGTACCTTAATAAACATTTGTGATTTGGGTGCATTATTAAGTAAAGTAAGCATTACTTGAACCCAGCACTGTGATACTACAACAGTTGTCTGATAACCCAATCAGCTACTAAGTGACTACCAGGCTGGTAGTATACACTGTGTGTATACACTGGACAAAGTGACGATTCACATTCTAGACAGGATAGACTGGGATAGTGTAAGATGTCATCACATGACTCAGAATGACATGCAATTTAAATTTTATGAATTGTTTATTTATGGAATTTCCCATTGAGTATATTCTGACCACAATTGACCATGGGTAACTGAAATCAAATTGCAAATAAGGGATAGTACTGTACTTTGGGGAATGTGATACAGCACATTGTTCACTTATCAAATGCTATTGCTGATATGCATTCATACATTCATTCATTCATTCATTCATTCGTTTCATTCTAAGATTTATTGAGTGTCTGTTATATACTAATCTTTAGGTTGAACACAACAAATTCAACAACAAGCAAGACTCAATCACTGCACTTACAGAGCTTATAGCCTACTAGGGATACAGAAAAGTGTCTGGGAAATTGTAAAACCTCATGCTTCAAAAAGAAAGTAGTGGTTCACCATATGGGGACTGAATGTGGAGAGGTGGGGCATCAGCTCAGTTGGGGAGATTAGGAAGGAAGACCTGACATCTGTGATGAAATCTCTGTATAACCTACAGTAGGAAAGGGCCCATCTGAAGAGTCTTCATCACTACTTTAAAACAATCTGTCTCCCATTCAAGCCCCTTTTGCTCTCTTGTGTTTCCTTCTGAACTACTGTCTATGAGCCTCATAGATACAAGAAGTGAGAACTGGGTGAGGGAATAAAGGGAGCAAGTCTTAGTGATGATAGCCAGAATTTTATTTCTCCTGTAATTTTGAAGCATCAACTCTTAGATGAGCACTCAGTAATAAACTTCCTAAAAATATTGCTGTTCTTTTGGGTGCTTAAAAAAAAAAAACGTGGCAAAGCTTTCCTGTGTGAAGCTCACTGGCCAAAAGGGTTGTGGTGTTAGATTTGGGCATTTGTGAAGAGATTTTCAGGTTTAGCCAAGGCAAAGTGTTAATTTCACTGAAAAACAAGAAGAGGAACATATTTTCTATTTGAGGAATGCTAAATTCGACTTATATCTTATATAATGTTTAAAGCCACTGGTATATTAGTTTACTCTGTGAACATTTACTAAAAACCTTGAAAAGTATTAGACAAAGCACTGGAACTGTAGAAATTAGATAAATCCCTGTCTGAAGGTTAGTTAAATTGTGATGTGAAAAAAATCCATTATGGAGAAGATGCTAGACACTTCAGCTCTTTCTTTGCTTTGTGTTTCAAAGTAGTATTGAGGAAGACATTTAGGCCAAGTTCCATTACTGACACCTGGAAAGAGTTTTAAAAACAAAGACACAGATTAGAAAAAATGCAGTAAAAACATCGAGACAAGTTATATCTGGGAGTTGAAATCATGAGGTTCATGATTTTCTTTGCTTTTTACTTAGTACATTCCAATAAACTTGCATTATAGGAAAAAGAATATATGCTTTGCTCTTCTTCCTCTTGCTGCTTTGATTTGAAGCTCACTGGCTTCTCAGAGGTTCGGATTTTAAAAAATCTGTCAGATAATAATAATAATACCTGACTTAGAACATTTTGAGCATTAGATGAGATAATACAAAGACCTTACTATATAGTAACTGCATAAAACATGTTACCATTACTAACGTTTTCTAGATATTATTAAAATCATCTGAAGTCATGAATATAGATCTCCGTAGGTGTGCATTTAAGGTTAATTTCAGTTAAAAACTCTTGTAAAATCTCATATCATACCTGTTGCTATATCAGTATTTTTTTGCCTCAACAGCTTCCTCTTGTGATTTTCCTTTTTCTACCTTCAATATCCACAGGCTTTTGGTTTTCAATTCCACTCTTGTTAAGCATTGTTTCCCTGGTAATTCTTCTGGTTTTAATCTCAATCTTATTATACTGGAAACGTCACCGGAATCAGGACCGAGGTGAGTCATTACAAGGAGTACAAAGAATGCAACAGGTTCCATGATTGTTTTAATAATTTGGGAATCATCTGAAGTTATGAATTAGGGGATGGCCACATGTGTTTTGTTTGTTGTTTCCAAAATACATAAATTGTTGGTGCAGTTTTAAAATGCTTTAGAATTATTTTCTTGCAATTGGATATTTCTCCTTTTCATTTGCTAAGATGTTTCAAAGATGAATTATTTTATGAGCCGAGAGAGAAAGAGGGCTCAGGAGAGGAAAGAAATGAGAATAAAGTGTTTATTTGATCACAATGGAGTCATTTGATGGCAGAACCAAAGAAAGAAGTCTGGCACCCATGCAAGGTCCTCTCTACCTGTTAATAAAGGACAATCTTTTCTCTTTTTACAGCATTCCACAAGCCAGCTGCCCATTTAAGAGACTGTGAAATTGTCCAATATGATCACTCATTAAATAGCACTTCCTATGTTATACTCCCATGATGTCTCAAACACTATCGGCAACATACAGGTGATCCACACTTACAGTAATTGTGTCATGTCATTCTGCCCTTGTAGGCTGTGAGTTTCTCTTTATCCCCCACAGCATCTATCACGACATCTTATTTATACCACATGTTCAATAAATGTTCATTTATTGAATGAATGAATGAATGAAAGGGATGATGGATAGATTTTTTTAAATGAATTTTTTAAATTTCCTTCCTTCTATTGTAAATTCATTACCTCATAAATGCCAAGTCTAAGATATTGTGAAATATTATAGAAGAGGACATGCCTTAGAAACAAGAGAAGTGACCTGTATATGTAGAAAGATTAAAATTTCTTTAGTTTCTGAAAACAGTGCACTATATTGCACAAGTTGTTAAAATGAGCACAAAGTTTCAGTTTGTGTTATGTGAAATGGGAGTTTCCTAAGGCGAGGGGGTAATATGGGAGTTTCCTGCATCTTAGATGGCTGAAGGTCTGGGCTCAGGAAAGAAAAAATGTTGGTTTTGAGTGTTATTTTAGTTTTTAATTTAAAATCCCCTTCAAAGACTACCTTATTTTCCTTTTCATTTTATGTTTCATGGACTGGGTCTTTCATGTTCTAGTTTCCTTGATCACTTTATTTTGCATAAGCCTTACATTAATCCCAAATTAATTCTTGTGAATTTATAAAAGAAGCAGCAAATCTTCAGTGTCAGTGTCAGCCCTATTGCAAAAGTAAGTGAAGGAATTTGTTCTATCTGGAAGAGGAGATTACAGATCAGATACTCTTATGGCACATGAACACATGCCATAAAACACATAAGCACTGGACAGAATATCAAAGACTGAAATTTGTTTGATTCCTCTTTATACAAATATTTCACTTTTCTAATTTGGAAACTAAAGCTCAGAGAGGGAATTCAACTTCCTTCTCTAAGGTCACACAGCTTCTTAACAGCAGGCTAGGACTAGAACCTGGGTCTCCTGACCTCTGCCAGAATGCTCTTTTCATTACAGATGCCCTGGATTCCTGACTTGAACGGAGCTATTGTTATCAGTTGCATTAATTTTAATCTGTGCTTAGTGTATTGTTCTTGTGAAAATGCAAGCAGAAAAGCATAGAGTAGTCAAAGTAATTTTTAAGTTTCTCTTGGAAAAGAGTCTTATAAAACAAACTCTTAAAGCCCAAGGTAAATTCCACTCGTTAGGGATATTTGCAATGTCATTGCCCTGTGTTCATTAAGCGAAAGTTGGATTTTCTGGGAAATGCAGTTATTCAAAACCATATCCAATTCTTGAAACAAAAAGAGACAGTTTATTTCTATGACCAAGTTTTTCCTCATTTATGAAATAAACACCTCAACTTGTGTTAAAGCTTGTAAGCACTAGGATTACCATTTACTGGTGATGTCTTCATGACATATGGCCAATTCAGTAAATTTCTCTGAATGTTCTGTGGCATATTCTAAATGAGTTGATTTTGTCTGATTAAAAAAAAATTGACAGCCAGAGAATGATTCTGTATACAGCTAGTAATACCAAATGTCAATTATGCTGATAGCTTACATGCTCAGAGCTAAGGAAATGGTGTTTCATTAAGACCAAATGTTAAGTTATATTTTCTTTTTTTAAAATTATTTCTTCAAGTAAGAAATTTTGATGACTAATTTGTGAGAAAGGGGAATAGTCCTATACATAGGGCTTTCATTTTTCCTTACTTTACTTTTGTTTTCTTTTTCCTTTTCTTTTCATCACCTTTCTAAAGCACTAAATTTTGAGGGCAGGGAAACATGATCATATAGAACCACAGCCAGGATTCTGAACCCTGAAAAATGATGCTGTGAGCATAAATAAGGAAGTGAAAAAGTGGAACTGAGGTGTGTGTGTATTTGTGGGTGTAGGTGTGTGTTCAGAGTTCGTAGTGAGGTAGAGAGGAGAAAGATGAATTAGTGCTTGCATTTATTAAGTGAATCATCAAAGATGATTCTTTAATCATCTTTGTGGAGCTGCCCAGTAGCCGGTAATAAAAATCTGTTCAAGTCAGCCCTGTTTGATAAATGACCAAAAAAAATTTTTAAGCTCATCATTACTATTCATTTACCCACAAAAGTCAACAAATTTATAATTTCTGCACAGAGGGGTCATCGCCAATGGTTGATGTTATCTTTGCAAAGAAGTTAGCCTTGACTGACTTTTCTTGTGATGTTCTTTAATGACAGAAAGCATGACACCAGTTTTGTCAGCTGTACAGTTCATTTTGGAGGAAGATATGATGAATTATAGGCCACTTCTCTGCACATTCCTAATAGGATCATGAGTTATTTCCCTGGTGACTACCGTAATAAGACTAATAAACTTCAGAGAATATACTTTTTTTTTCTTTCATAAATCTAGTACTTTATTACTGAAATAGAAAATGAGAAAAACATTAAAATTTCCTAGGGAAATTTTCCATCTCATAATAGTTCTTTCTATTAAAATGCAGTGGTGTCATAAGTTTGTGCCTTCCCCATATAGGACAAAGAGGTTCAGACTTGAGGTTGAGAATAATATTTTATTTATCTATTTATTTGGTACCAGGAATTGAACCCAGGAATGCTTAACCACTGAACCACATCCCCAGCCCTTTTTTTATATATATATTTTATTTAGACACAAGGTCTTGCTGAGTTGCTTAGGGTCCTGCTGAGTTGCTGAGGCTGGCTTTGAACTCATGATCCTCCTGACTCAGCCTCCTGAGCCACTGGGATTATAGGCGTGTACCATGGCACCCAGTGAGAATAATATTTTATTTCTCATTAGTCCACCTACCAATGATTACATGTTTCTCAGAAAAAAAAAAATTTTTACTTAAGAGCAGACCATTGTGGACATATTTGAGTTGTCATTTTTTTGTCTGTTTTGTTTGATTGGCAGTGCTGAGTTGAAAAACCATAGAAAATTTAGACCAATAGTGTAACATACATGTTCTAACTTCACTTTGTCTTAAACTACTAGCAATTTCATGTAGGAATATATTTTCCAGCCACATGATCTTCATGTTTGCCTTGAGTTCCTTCAGTTCACAATAATCTGTGAATGGATCCTTGCAATGAAACAATCGCCATGTTAGGAAAACCCCATTTCCTGGGTAGGAGCACAACACTGTCTCCTATTTTAAGCTTAGTACTACCTCAGATAAAAAAAGCTCAATAAACAAGTTGTGGTGGTGAAGGAGGTCATCAGTTCAAAGGACATTACAAATATTGTTCCTAAGACAATTTGGATTGCAAAATAAGATTTTCATACTCATCCCCACTCCTACCTTGGTGTCCTCAGACTTCCAAGGAGAAGGAATGGGATGCTTTGTATGGGGAAAGCAATGGGGAATCTTTATTGAACTGCTCAGTGAAAAGTCACTTTCTAGGTGACATTTCACACTCCAAGGCTATTTTCCTGAAAAAAAAAAAGTTTACAATTTTCACACATGTATAAATATCACCCGATATGACTAAATAGCACAATAAAATCTGATCACAAAGTTCTTACCTTCAGGCCCTTAAAATCTGGACATTCTTGCCTAGAGCTGTTCTTTGCTTCTCTGCTCTTCAACACTTAAACCCACCTTAGATTACATGACCCAAATTTTGCTTTTTAGTGTATGGGAATACCTCTAGGAGTCAAAACCTCACAATATCCTACCCAGTAATTAAATCCCAGTTCACTTCTCAGATAGCACACTCATTCCCTTGGCTCCTTATCCTTCTGGCTGCTTTGTTTAATTTTTGTTGTTGTTGTTGCTTTTATTGGTTCATTATAGTTATACATACGAGTTGGGTTCATTTTAACATAATCATAAATGCATGGAATTTAGTTGGCGCCATTGCAGTCATGGGACTGTTTTAAGGAGATTTGCCATCAGTATTAGTGTCTTCTGTTAGACACATTAATGAAAAATCAAGAATGAGAAAATATCCCAGCTGAACAACCCTCCCACATCTCTGTTGCTTTTGCATTTTAGCTTGCGTTCTTTAGAGTCTAATTACTGGTTGCTTTCTTTTCCACCGTCTTGCCCTTCATCTTATCCCTACCACTAAGCTTGGCTCTGAATAGATTTAAGCTTTTACTCCCCGCTGCTACAAGAAATCAACTTGATGGTCCTTAATCTGGAAAAGATTGGATTCCTTTATGAAAGTACTCAGCATGGCTTACCTGAGAAGGAAACATCATAAATGTTGTACTAATTTTCTATTGCTTCTTTAACAAATTATCACAAATTTAGTGGCTTACAACAACACAAATTTGTTATCCTGCAATTCTGCATGTCAGAAGTCCAGAATGGTTCTCATCCACTAAACTCAAGCCATCTATCTAACAGGGCTTCCTTCCTTTCTGGAGGGAGTAGTGGACAATCCTTTTTTTTTTTTTTTTAAACGTAGCATTTAGAGACTACCCATTTTCCTGATCCTTTTGTCACATTCTACCTGCAAAGCTAGCAACAGCCAGTTGGGTCTTTCTCCTGTTGCATCACTCTGGCTGACTCTATTGCCTCCCTTTTTCCCTCAGAAGGACCCTTGTGATGACATTGTGTCTACCTCTATAATCCAGGATTATCTCTCCATCTCCTGACCCTTCATTTAATCAGTAAAATCTCTTTTACCATATAAAGTTACACATTCACAGATTCCTGGAATTAGTATGTGGACCTTTGAGGTGACCATCATGAGGCTACCACAAATGCATAGAGGGGTTGGGAGTGAGCTGGGTAGAGGAGCAGCTGTTAACTGACTTCCCAGTGAAAGCATTCTGTGTCTGTAATTCCACAGCCTTAGCTTTGTTTGTGGTTACCCTACGTCAAAGAACATCAGAAACTGGTCAGAATCTCTGAGCACATCACTTTGATTTTCTCATCCATTTCCTATCTCAAACAAGGCAGGGCTTTATTTTTCAATGTTGTATTTTGCCTCTCAATTCTATAACCCAAAAGCATGACTTCTGCTGTCTTCCCTTTTACTAACCATCACTAACTCTAATGTTACAAAACCTTTTCCTTTTATTTGGAATCTTGGTTCTCATGTATTTCTGGCTTCTCTCTACTCACAACCCCCCTCACAAAGGCAGGTAATTCTGGGTTCCTTTAATAGCTTAGTCATAGGTAAGTTCATTGGATTCTCTGTGGAAGGTAAAGGTGGAAAGATTATACTTATTGCTGTATCTAGTGACATTTGGCATACCACATTGGTCTTCTCCCGTTTATTATAGCTCATTAAAACAGTGATTTTTGAGTCCATAATACTTGCAGAATATTGTAAAGCCATGATAGTTTTTGCAACCTTAATGTTTTCCATATCATTTCTAAAATTCTTTAAAATCCTTACTTATAGATCCAAATTGATGTCAACAGCCCATATACT